ATCGAGCTGCTTTTCCTGCTTCAGCTCCTTACTCCTCCTCCTCTTGCCCACGTCACCCTGACAATTACAAATAGGTCTCACACAAACCCATACCTGTCAATCTTTTTAATTGCTTTGTTTTCTTTTTTTTTTTTTTTTTTTCCCCTTTCTCTCCTTCCGAGAGCTAAACAATATGACAAAAAAAAAAAAAAAAAAAAAAAAAAAAGTCTTAATACAGCAGGGCATAAAAGATTTCTCATGTGAGCCGCACGCACGCCGAGGGGGCTGTTGTTAACAGATCCACTTGCTGAAGTGCCGCGCCAAGACGCATGTGCTGCTTCAACAACTTGAGGTCTGCTGCCGGCAAACTTACCCCAGATAAATAAATAAAGAAAGACAGGAAAATAAGGCAGGGCACGGGACCTCGCCGTGGCAGGCGGCTGCCCGGCGCTGAGCGGCTCCGCGGTGCCAGCAGCCCGCCGAGCGAAGCGCGCTGCTCACGGAGCCCGTGCGCCCGGGGGATTTACATAACGCGGGGACAGGAGGTGCTCTTCCCGGGCTTCTGTGAGCCGGGAAAGCAAAGAAAAAGCCACCACCCGGCTGATTCCGACAGGAACACGCTCCAAACTGCAGTTTTGCTCTCTTTCGGGCAAAAAGGGGATTTGTTATTTTTTTTCTCCCCTTTTCCTGTACATTAAGGGTCCCTTCCAACTCAGGATACTCTATGATTCTATGATTCTATGTTTAGCGAGGTAGAGCCGAGGAAGGCGCTGCTTGCTGGCACGGAGACACCCCCTGCCCTGCCCTCCCTCACACAAAGTTGGGACAAACACCGCCGCGGCGCCGCTTCGCTCCCTTAACCCAGCTCCCTCCCCGCGCAGTTCCCCTTTGCAGCGCCGTGAGGCGAGAAAACCACTTTATTAATTATTAGGGGGGGAAAAAAACCCCGAGAGGCTTCCCCGCGCAGCGCCGGCCGACAGGTCAACCCGCGGTGGCCGGCCGACAGGTCAACCCGCGGTGGCGGCCGCACGCCCCCTAACCGGCGGCCGCGGGGCCGGGGCCGGGGCCGGGGCCGGGGCCGGGGCCGGGGCCGGGGCCGGCGGCGGCTCGGGGTCGATTCGTAGCACCTGGCTGCGAGGAAGTGAACGTTTCGCACGGAAGGGGCGGAGCCTGGGGCCGGCGGGCAGCGGCTCGGCGGCGGCGAGGAGAGGCGCCGGGCGCTGCCGCTCCTCTTTTATTATTGTTATATATTTTTTTTAATTTATTTTTTTTTATTTTTATTTTTTGGGTGCCCGGTAAGCGCTGCTCGCAGGGCGCGGGGCGGGGGTGGCGGATCCGCGGCGCTCCCCGCCTCGCTGTCTCTCCCCCCCCCCCCCCCCCACTCCCTTCCCTCCCCTCCTATGCAGCCGCTCTTTAAAGCCCCCCGACGGCCGGAGCAGCGCGCACGGTGACAGCCGCGATCCTCAGCCGGGATCCGGGATCCAGCAGCCGGGATCCAGCACCCGGGAGCGGCGGTGCCGGGCCATGAGCTGGAGCGCCCGCAGCGGCGTGGCGCTGGGCTGCCGGGCTCGGCCCATCGTGGACCTGTCGTACAGCCGCCACTTTCTGGATTTCCAGGGCTCGGGCATCCCCAGCGCCATGAAGAAGCTGGTGGTGACCCGGCGGAGCCCCAACTTCAGGGAAGCGGTCGCCCTGCGGCACGGCGTGCCCGTGCCCCTCCCCGGGGACGGCGACCTCCTCGTCAGGAACAGGTGAGCCGCAGCCACACACACACACGGACACGGACACCCCACCAAAAAAAAAATAAAATAACAAAACCACCACCCCCTCCCACCTCGTGGCCTGCTTTGCGGGCCGGCTCCCGACTCGCACCAGCTGCCATCTGGCGACTGCTTAAATTTAACTTTATTTGGGGTGCCGGTGCCCCTGCTGCCGTGCGTGGCGGCTGCTGCTGCCCCGTTCACGTGGGGTGATGCTTCCTCCTCCCTCCTCCTCCTCCTCCTCCTCCTCCTCCTCCTCCCGGCTCACCTCGGGCCGCCGGTGCTCGCCAAGTCCCTCCCAGTCCCCCGCCGGTGCTCCCCGCCCCGCACCGCCTCCCTGCCCCTTCCCCGGGCTGCCGGGACGCTCCCCCCCCCCCCCCAGTTCCCCCCCAATTCCCCCCGGCGGGGGGCGAGGAGGGGACTTTTGGCTTTAACCTAAAGCGCCGTAAATCCTGCGCCGAGACACCCGGGCTCCGAGGAGCGACCCTGCCCTCCTCCCCGCAGCCTGCCCCGTGGAGCTGGCTGCTCGCACTGGCTCCTGCCGCGGAGTTTGCACGCCCCGCAGCTGGAAGCCCTAAAAAAAAAGTTGAGGGGGTGCCCAGCAAGAGAGGGGAAGGGGAAACGCCGGGCACCGCGGGTGAGGGTGAGAGCAGCACTCCCTCGGGTGCTCGTCGAGCAGGCAAGCAGCAGTGGCACTAAAACCTTGAGGCGTTAGGAAGCCTAAAGAAATCCTTCAGGATGGTCCTGGGAGTTTTGGGAAGGCTTCGACTGAGTGCATGGTGTGTGTGTGTGTGTGTGTGATCCCTGGTGTGAGTCCGTGGGGAGCGCATAAAGAAATTGGTGAACAAGGGGGAAGGGGAAAGTAGGACGGGGACTGCTACAGGAGCTGATGAGGAGCCTCGTGTGCCGCTTTAATCCGATGCTGACGCCTTCCCTTAGGATCTCGGAGACCAAAATTCCCTCCTCCACACCTCCACGTCCAAACCACGGCGGTGCTGCGCTTGTTCACCAGGCAATAAGGGCCTGCAGCAGCCCACAGGCTGGGGCTCGGTGCCTGTCGGGGGGGTGAAGAGGCCAGCAGGACCTGAGCTGGGTAGCACGGGGTTGGGCGACATCCTCGCTTCCCTCATCAGCTCCCCCCATGCACTTGGATTCCTTCTCGCCCCCTCCCCGTGATTTTTTTTTAATTTATTCCTCTCCTCCACAGCTTCCAGCATAACTCTTCCTCTCTCCCTCTCCTCCCTCCCTTTGCTGGGTGGGCTCCCCGTGCACACCTCACGGCGAAAGGGCTGAGGCGCAGAGCTCAGAGCAGACTGGAAGCAGGAGCTGCTCCAGACATTTTGGGCAGGCAACTACTGGGTCTCAGCTTGTTAGACACATGCTCCTGTACAGACACACGCACGAGTGGGGATGGAGGGGAGGGAGAAGTGAGTGAGAAGCTTTAGGGTTAGGCTTCACATGTCTGGTATTATTTGGGGATCCGTGCCATTTTCTCTATATTTACTATTATTTTCGGGGGGGGTGTCACAGAAGACACAGGATCGCATTACTGAAAAGCACGCTCTATGAACGAGCAGCAGCAGGAAGCGAGTTTGGAGTGTTTCCCCCTCTTGTCACTCGGGGGAAGCTTTTTCCCATCCCAAAAGGACGGGTCCCTGTGTCTTAAAAAAAAAAAAAAAAAAAAAAAAAAAAAGCAGCAAGCCCTAAATCCAACTGCATGTTTTGTGATAGGTAGAAACACAGAATTAAAAACAAAGCAGTAAAGGACTTGGAGTTCCAAGAGTGCGTTTGCAGATCTGCTCATTTTAGTCCCAGTCACGCCCATGAATACTATTAATTGCTTTGAGCTTTTTATGCAAAACAATCCTGATTCACCACAATAAAATCTGGGTTTGGATTTTAGGGGAATGGGGAACTAAAATGTGCCGAGTCCCTGTGTGGAGAGATGTTTTCAAATAAGATGCTCTTCAGTTAAGTGGAACTTTCTTCCCTCTTTTTTTTTTTTTTCCTCCTTTGGAAAACTGAGCCAGCAGCTTTTTTTTTTTTTCAATTTTTTAAGGAAAAAAAAAAAACTGTCCTTTATTCAGACAGAAATACTTCAAAACTAGAAATGGGTTTAAAGCAACGCATTTATTTCGGTTCTGTGCAGGAGAGGAGGAGAAGGAGCGTACAAATCCCCTAACGAAGCCCTTTCAGCTTCGTGTGTCGGGCTGTTACGTTTTTGGGGGGGGGGGTGGCGGGGGACAAGGCTCCCACCACTGCAGGACAAGGACCCAGAGAGCGTGAAGAATGCGTCCTTCCTCCAGCTCCGCGCTCTTTGCGGGATTTTTTGACGGAGGGGACGCGTTTCGCTCCCAGCATACCTGGGACGTTTCGCTGCTGGGATGGAAGACGCGAAAAAAAAGTTTATAGAGAAGGCAGCGGGGGGTGAGCCGGGGGGGAGTCGCTGAAGCCGGGGGTTAACGGGACACGGTGGGGAAAGCGGCGGGCCGTTTCCGCCGGGAGTTTGGGTTATAAATGCGGCGTTTCTCGCCCGGTGCCGGCGGGGGTGACTTTGTGTTGGCTGCAGGTCGGGCGGCGGTGCGCGGCGGGTCCCCGGGGCAGACGGGGCGGGGGGAAGAGCCTTGGGGAAAGGCACCCTCTCGCCTTGTCAGGTTTACGTCTCGGGATGGAGAAGGAGCAAGCCCGTTAGAAACCCCGGAATGAAATAAGCCGAGAAAGGAAAACGGGACGGGGGGGGAAAGGTTTGGAAGCGCTCTCCAAGCCCACCGGCGCCCCAGTCATTGTTGCTCGTGTGCTCTTTTGTTCCCAGAAGTTAGCAAACTCCTCCGCAACTTGTAAACCGGTCCCACTTCAAAAAAAAAAAAAAAAAAAAAAAAGCAAAATAACCCCAAACCGCGGCCATGTCCCTTCTGGCAGGAGGCAAAAAAAAAAAAAAGCGCAGAGAAGTTTGAACCCGGCCGGCCGCGGGGACGCTCGGCGACCTCTAGAAAGAAAGGGACACCCCCCAAAAAAAATAAATAATAATAATAATAATAATAAATAAAACCCGGCCGGGACGCGGCGCCCCGCCGGCAGCGGCGCGGAGCTGCGCTGGGAGCCCCGCGCTCGGAGCCCGGCGCCGGAGCCAGGGGAGGCGGCGGGGGCCGGGCGCTGCCCCGCAGCTCCCCCGCAGCTCCCCCGCAGCTCCCCGCAGCCGGGGGGCGAGCCTCGGGAAGCCGCAGGAAGGCTCGGAGCCTCTGGCAAAGTGCGGCGGTGGCA